ACCATTGTCCATTTAGGAGTGTGGGAACTTCTTCTGCAGTTACAGGATAAAGTAAAGCTGGAATATAAATAACACACACACACACACACACACACACCTCCTCTTCCTCCCAAAAGGCCACGGTGCTTTCAGGTGCTTCTCGTCAACCTGCAAAGTCAAAAAACCTTTAAGTTTTGACTTGAACACATGACCATGTTTCTTACTTTACGAGTTGTTGAGAAGCGCCCAAATGCACCAGATTGTCACCGTGCATTGTGGGATATTGGAGCTTTGAACTGACTCCTGAGAGATTATGACAAAGAATCTTTAATTTGGCAGAAATGGGCTTCCATACAAACATAATGACTTCCTTCAATTGATATTTTTTTCAGTGGGTTTGGTAGAAGAAAGAAAGGTTTTGGTGTCTTTTGGAAGTCATGAGTGTCTGTACTGTGTGTGTGTGTGTGTGTGTGTGAGTGTGTGTGTGTGTGAGTGTGTGTGTCTGTGTGAGTGTGTGTGTGTGTGTGTGTGTGTGTGTGTGTGTGTGTGAGTGTGTGTGTCTGTGTGAGTGTGTGTGTGTGTGTGTGTGTGTGTGTGTGTGTGTGTGTGGATTATGGAGGATTTAATAAGATTTATCACAAACCAAGAGTTCCTTTTAACAACATACCGATCGGTGTTTGTGTCACATGTTGGCAGGATCTCTTGTTTAGCTTTGTTAGCCGCTCAGAGAGGCTCCGCCTGATAAATCAAATCAAAGTCATAATACGCCCCAGGGGCTGATGGGAGATTCAGGAAATGTTTGGAGGCTGCTGCCGATGATGATGATGATGATGATGTTTGGCTCAGATGTCAGTTTATCGTTCCTGATGCGTGCGTCAGAGAGTCGAGACGAAAAGTGTTTCGCTGAAATGATGTGAAGATCTCTGCAGAAGTTATAAAGTCTTCTCGCCGGGACCCAGAGGAGGTGTTGTGGTGTACCCCGCCTTGTTGATTGTTAATAAGAGATAACAGGAAAACACCGACCTGTTTCCTGCAGAATAACTGTGTGTGTGTGTGTGTGTGTGTGTGTGTGTGTGTGCTCAGTCTCCCTCCCTCTACCGCCGTGCTGTCCAAACACACTGAGACAGAGCAGACAGGGGCCAGAAATCAGCTTTTATGAGTTGTTGAGACATCAGTTTGTAAAGATCAGTCTTCTGTAAATGGAGGGGGATTAAAGAGGGAGAGAGACAGCGAGAGAGAGATGAGCTGTGAGGAGAAGAGTTGCAGACAGAGAGACAGACAGGAAACAGAACCTGTCTGAGTGTGAATGAGCTGCTCAAACTTATTTCTAACTTATTAAACGTGCAACCGCGAGTTGGTCTCTCGCACTAGAGCGCTAATGTGGATTAATCCACCGCTGAAAATAGTCCCCAACAAACTCAATAGGAAACCGTTTACTGAGCTAATAAATTAAGTTTTCTATAAGGCTCAATACTATCAGACTGCTTTTATTGCGACCAATGGAGCTCCCCCTGCTGGCCATTCGAAAGAATGCAGGTTTAAGACACAGCAGGTTGTTGCTGTAGGTTGTAAAATCCTGCTCGCAGCCTCACAGAGACTTCCTAATGACACGTTGGCAGCGAGGAGAATCAGCCGAGCGCCGTCCGGTAGTAGTTCAGTGTGTCCATGCGGAGCTGGTTATTACTGTAATGTGTGATTATAATATTCTAGCAGCTGAACGACAAAAAAATACTGTAAAATAACAAAATAACTGATTAAAATACAGTTTATAGCTTTAATTTTACATTCAAATAATTAATTAATTAATTAAAGATATTTACAGTGTAAACAATAAATCCAGGTGAACTCTGCTTTAATACAATAATCAGACTTACATTTACAGCAGAGTGCTGTTATTATTGGATTGTTATTATTTTAATGTGAATGTTAAAAGTTATAGAAGTGTAATAAAAGTCATTATCTGTGAGATTACAGTAATTATTGCTGTTTACACTGATAACAACTGTATTTGGACAGTTTACCTTATACACTGATAAACAACATTTATTCAACTTCCATCATTATACAAGAAAAAAAAATCACAGGATATTTTTGTAAATTTATGAATCGGTATTAAAATCAACTTGCAGGGCCATAAAAGAAAGAAAGTCCACACTCCCTGAGAGTGAATGCATCAGACGCTGTCGGTGTAATTTCTCTCGTTATCTGAGGAACTCAAACTAACTCTGGTTAGTTTCTCCTGCTGCTGGACTGTGAGATAAAGTTAATACTTTGTTAATATTCAACAGTTGCACTCTTCAGACTCCTCAAAGTGTTATTATAGATCACAAGGTCTCAGCATTTTGTTCATTTCTGTGAGGAAAAGTAAATTAAATAGTTATTTTTAAAGTGGATTATTATTCAAGATTGAACCTGAACACAGTGTATATTATTATTATTATTATTATTGATCGCAGTGTACAGTGCCAGAGCTTCAGTCTCTGATCAACAGCTGATAGATCAATAAACAGTGAATCTGTTCTGAAGAATATTAAGTCTGATTGTTAAAATGATAAAAACCCATAATACAGACTTTTTGTAATTGTGTAAAAAGTTCCATAAACAGGAAATAATCTGCTCAAAATTCATCCAAATCTCTGGTCTTCGTGCAGTGATTGAGTTCACTGTTTGGGCTCATTGATGTTGATCAGCTGTTCTCTGCTGTTATTGATACTCATCAATAGGAAATATACAGAGCTATATATATAACTCCGTCTATGATGCATTCACTGTCATGAAGACACAGAATATGAGCAGACTGATCCTCAGCAGCGTTATTAGCGTCACACTAACAGATTGGCCTCCGTTAAAACAAAGACTTCTTCTTGTTCTTCCTCCAGCAGCTTGAATCCACATCACAAACACTATTCTAAGAAACGATGAATGAACGAACGGGGCTTTTATTTTCTAACCTCGCTGAAGTGATGATGATGTAAGTGAGATAATCGCCTCCGAATTGTCGGTTAAACGGGCGCTAATGGACTCGCTAAAGTGCCGGGCCGCCTCCGCACACGCGCACACGCAGAGACAAGCCGCCCATTCACACCGTTTAACAGAGCATCACTGCTGCTGACATTCATAAACTCCCCAAATCGTGACTTTGATTTTCTGTATGGACGCCCACGAGCGAGAGACATTACAGAGAGAGAGAGGGAGAGAGAGGGAGGGAAAGGTGATGCAAACATGTTATGTAACAGCGGTGGATGGTAATTGGGTCTTCAAACCAGTGATTAGCTCACTGACGGGCTGCAGGTTTCGAGGAAATGCAGGCCTGGACGTGTGTGTGAGACAGGAAAATGTAAGACAGATTTCCACAAAGAGTGTGTGTGTGTGTGTGTGGACGCAAATTCAGCCAATCCCTGCAGTGTTTGGGTTAGGGTTAACTTTCTGTCAGAAGAATGAAGAATAATACAGGTTGATCGTAAAATGATCTCGAACAGCAGACAGCCCCTTCAGGAGGTTGATATACGATATGTGTCGTCGCAGCCGCCATATTGGTGAGGTCAGAATGCGTTAGTGATCAATACTGAGAGATTCAGACTGGACGACACAATCAACTGTACAAACACACAACTGGATCATATTTTATGGAGAGAATATTGTCTGGTTTTCCCTCTGACGTCCTCCACCAACTGCTAATGTAGCTGCTAATGTAGCTGCCGTAAGCGTTAGCAACTGAACGGGGCTCAGCAGCCTCCCGGTGAACACAACCTCCGAGACAGACAGACAGAGGACAGTCTGACGACAGCGGTACCGAGGTGATTGATGGAGTTTCCTGATGGACTTGTTGCTAAAAGAAGCTAACTGTCAGCAATAGTAACGTTAGATGTTGAAAATAGCTCAATGAGAAAAGCTACATCAATCGTTAACAAGGTAGTTAGCTGGTGTTTTTCTAACATTGGGCTGACTCAAGGTGTGACTTTATATATGTCACTTTTATCTTTTAACAATCTTCAGAGTTTGGTCTCCTTCTGTTACCGGAGCAACGAGCCAAAAATATGAACCTTCATACAAACAAAGATTTGAACAAAATAAGTATTTACACGCTAATCAGCTCGACTAAAAACCAAAACCAAATCCTTTGACTCGACTACGTGCGGAGGACAAAGAAGTGATTTTCTTTTTTTTTTATCTTTGAAAACTGAATATCTTTGAGTTCTGGCCTGTTGTTCGGACAGAAATGTGATTTCTGGACGATCTGCATGAACCAGCAAACACATCTGCCTTCCAAATAAAACCTGTAACCAGTCACAGCTTCTCTCCTGCTGACTCGCAGCTTTTAAACTTTCCCATAATTCACTGTGAGGTAAAGATTAAACTCTGTAAACGGTTCGCTGCCGCTGTAAATTCAGCAATGACAACGGAGCTCCTGGTGGGAACCATTAGCTGCTTTAAACGCTGCCTGACTCCAAAACCTCCGACCACTGCTGCTGAGTCAGCAGGAAGTCCCTGCAGCCGTGTGTGTGTGTGTGTGTGTGTGTGTGTTAGAGATGATAACATAATGATAAGTGTGCGCTGTGTGTGTAGCTGCAGTGTAGCTCAGATGTGGCCGCAGTCATTGTGTGTCTGTGAGGCGTTCATGGTCTTTGTGTACGTGCAGTAAAAGTATGATGTGTTCACTCACCCATCGTTGTCATGGTTACCTGCAGTTTATGGCAAATGGCGTGCTCCCACCGAACGCTAAGCAAATTTTCACCTTGCGTCACTCGCACAAGTTTACTTGCGTAGTAATCTGGTTCACAGCGGCAGCAGATGTTTCTGTGATTTAATGTCAATAAACGGATCAATATGATGCTGAAGTAACGACATCGTGATGGCGATTTATAAAACGTTGGTTCGAGCTTGGTTGATCAGGGCTATGCTAACTTAGCTCATAGTAAAGTAAGACAGCTGTGAAGTGTTGAAAATATGTGTCAGCCAATCAGAGCCCAGTTGTGCTAACCCTCTGTCTGTCTGTCTGCTTGCCTGTCTGTCTGTCTTAGGTGAGTCTCAGGGCACGGTGAACTTCGTCCTCTCTAAAGAAGGCGGCGACCTCTCTCTGGTGGAGCAGGCGAACGTCTGGCTCTTCCTCCGCTTGGCGAAGACCAACCGCAGCCGAGCCAAAGTCACCATCCGCCTCTTCCAGCAGCGCCGGCTTCCCAACGGGCGTCTGTCTCTACCGCAGGACGACCTCCTCCTGGCGGAGAAAACCGTGGACACCCGTCGCAGTGGGTGGCACACCTTCCCAGTGTCGGCAGCGGTGCAAGCGCTGCTGGAGAGCGCCGAGAGCATGACACTGAGCCTCAGGGCATCCTGCCCGCTCTGCGCCGACGCCGGCGCCACGCTCGTTCTGGTCTCCGGCAACTCGGAGACATCGCAGCGTGCCAGCCAGCGTGAACAGTCCCACCGGCCCTTCCTTATGGCCGTGGTCCGGCAGGAGGACGGCGGGGACTCGCGGCGCCGCAGGAAGCGTGGGCTGGAGTGCGACGGAAAGGTCCGCGTCTGCTGCAAACGGCAGTTCTACGTCAACTTCAAAGACATCGGCTGGAACGACTGGATAATCGCGCCGCCCGGTTACCACGCCAACTACTGCGAGGGCGAGTGTCCATCCCACGTGGCGAGCATCACCGGGTCCACGTTGTCCTTCCACTCCACCGTCATCAGCCACTACCGCATGCGGGGCTACAGTCCGTTCCAGAACCTGCGGTCGTGCTGCGTGCCCACCCGGCTACGAGCCATGTCCATGCTCTACTACAACGAGGAGCAGAAGATCATCAAGAAGGACATCCAGAACATGATCGTGGAGGAGTGCGGCTGCTCGTAAACCCAGAACCGGACCGGACCTGGACAAAATGGACTGGAGGGGAGTGGAGAGGAGGAGGACATCTGAACCCCAGAGAGAGGGAGGAGGTGACTTTATGATCGTCGTCACTCGAGGTCGCTCTCTGGGAGTAAACTCCTCTCCGTCCTCGTCCAGCAGAACTCAGAAAGAGTCTCAACGGCACTTTCAGACAAAACAAGAAAAGAAAAAAAAAGCTAGAAAAAAAAAAGAATATCTAATATATTTTTGTTACCAGAGGAGGGAGTGAGGCTTATTTATGTGGCTGAGACGTTCAAGCACCACTCGACCCGTCAGACATCGGAGAGACGAGGTGCCTGAAAAACTACTAACAAAAAAAAATCTCAAAACTATGCAACTTGTTTCACGTATTACGATCTTATTTTACTTTGTTTACTTTTTTCAAAACGTACGAGGAAGAGAGAAGAAGACTTTTGTATTATTTTTTTTGGAAGTTTGTAGTGTGTGTGTGTGTGTGTGTGTGTGTGTGTGTGTGTTGAGAGATACTTGAAAGAAACAAGTTGGCCCGGCTGCTGGAACCAAACACTTCTTTATGTTACCATGGTTACCGTGTTGGTGTTATAATTATTATTGTCAGTAAGTAAGTATATTAATAATATTATTATTGTTATTGTTGTTAATAATAATATTTGTGTGGCTGCATTTTGTGTTATTATGTCTGTTTTAATTATTTTAATTTTTTAAAAAGAACATTTTTTGCACTATAGCGACACTCATGCTCAGATTAGCCGGACTGAAGAGAGCGGACAGACCGGAGCTTCCTGTTCACGGCGGGCTCACGGGTTTCCTGACCTTTCCTCTGAGCTCCAATAACAGTTGAACAAGCCTCGGTCAACTTCCTCCTTTCCTGTACTTAGATATGCTACGTGCTAGGCTAATCTATGTTCAAAAGACATTTTGAAGATGGCTAGAAGATAAAAGAGACATTTATGTAGTCACATCTTAAGACAGCAAAAACTTAGCCAACAAGCTAGCTAATTTACATCCACTGTTAGCTAGGTAATTAGCTATGTTGCTAGTTAGCATTTCCGGGCACTAATGAAATACACAAATGAAAACGTAGTTATAGTAAATATTTTATTCCATTTCTTCAATTAGATCCTCCTCAATGTTACACTCAGGACCTTTAAGATGTATTTATACATTTTTTAAAAAATACTATTGTCTTTTCAACATGAACAAGCCTAGCAAAAGGGGCGGAGCTTAGTCTGGGTCAAAAATCCAAAAGCAGGTGGACACGGTGGTACGGAGTATCTCGTACTCATTTGTAAGTATTAGGGCTGTAGCCAGGACTTTTGAAAAACTAATAAAGTCTATAAAATGACTGAAAGTAACGATTTGGATTTTTTGTTTTCTTTTTTAAATGTGTTAACTGTTACGTTACATTGTAACAGACATTTTATGTCCAACATAGAGGCCCATATGTTCCCCATACTGCCAGAAAATAAAAATCTGATAAGCAGAAAAACTTTTATTTATTTATTTATTTATTTTTGTTGCCATTAAAGTATTCAAATTTCTAGTATATTTAGTCCAAAACTCCCAGTCAGTCCCACCATGTGTAAACTCTCCCCATGGTCCCATAAAAACACAGCGCAGTTGATCTGAATGGATCCTACAGCGCTGCCTCAAGTCCTTTGAATAAAATCTCCACCAAAACTCACATTAGAAGAAGTGGAGACGGATATTTACTTTGTATTTCTAGAGAGAAGTTGGCGGTTCTCCCATTAACTTCAATGCAGTTGCAGTTTTTAATTAACTTTAATTGCCACAGCTAGTGGCAATTAAAGGAACTGCAGGTAGAGAAACGTCATCTGTGGAGGCCTCTGATTGGATAAACCAAGAGCTAACACGTAGGTGATACCTAGCGCCAGTCAGTTAGCACCCAACGCTAGCAACTATACATGAAACACGGAGCGATGAAGTAATAATCCCGCTGGAAACTGCCACAGCGCTTCGGGAACTTCCTGTCTGTCCGGTCACATGCTACGAGAAAGTGGAGGATGAAAAGCACTTAGAAGAAGAAAAATTTAGATTTGGTTCGTAAATAAAATTCTAATCTCATTAAGTTAAAACGCAAAAATACAACAAGAGATGTCAGTTTAACGGCAGTCATCTTATGTCCTTTCTGTTAGCGTAAATATTCGGTGACAGCTAGCCAACCCCTAAAACAAACCCCTTAAAATCACTTCTATTTTTGTCTCTGGTGGATGTTTACAGTACATTAAGGTGATTAGCATTATTAGCCAAGAATCATTATACACACAAAAAAAGAGAAAGATTTAGCGTTTGTATCGAGGGATTCATGCACGATTTTAATGTCTTTTGTGGATGTTTTTAATCTGTTATGAATGTGACACTTTATTTAAAACATTTGTTAAAGTATCTCCTGTAGAAAAATTTGCACTTTGGATAAACTGAAGTCGTATTTTCACACGAATAAACATTAATAACAATGTAAACCTCCACAGAGCCTCCATAAATCAACCAATAAATCCTGTAAAGCTGTTTTGTGAAATTCATAATAAATAAGTGATTAAAGTGATACCAGACACACAGAGGGTTAACATTGTGTTCTTTCATTGTCACACCAGGGTTCGCAGTTAAATACGAGGATTCCTGCACATTGAGTTTAAAAAGAGAAAACGTTTTTTTGTTTTTGTCCCGTTTTAGTTTGCTTTAGAACACCAAAGAGTCGAGTTTGTGCACTTGTTTGAGTGAGAAAAACTGTTAAAGTTACATTCAATGATGCTGAAAAAGAAATAGTTCATTTACAACCTGATTTATGTGTGAGAGACAAAAAACAAAAAAATACAGAAAATGTAAAATTGTGTCGAACTGCGTCTCAAAAGTTGCTTTCATGAAGAGTTTTATTCAAGCTTTATAGTTTCAGATTCATTTAGATTTTTTTATTGAGTTGTGATGTTTTTACTTTGTTTCTCTTTCTACCTGCACACCAAGAACTCAGTTTCCCACCATTCTTTACATTAAAATAAACTGAAAAAGACAATCCACAGTCGCCTTGTTCTGTTTTTTGGGAGAAAAACAATCAGATTTCAGAGTGTTTCTGTGTTGTGTGTGTTTATATTAGTATTGTCGACTTGTTCACCAAATGTTTTGGAGTGTTGGTCCCCTTTTTAACAAAGTCACGCGTGTTTTTAGTTTCTCTTTTTGTTGGTGGACCTTCTTCTTCTGGACTTTTAGGGACACGGTCCATCCTGTGTGTACATGGACGCGTACAAAATGTCTGCAGATTTAAAAAAAAAGCCTCAAAAAGAAGCAAAACAAAAGGAGAAAAAAAAGGTATAAAAGAAGTGGTTGTATTTTGTTCAGATTTTGTTCTTTTGATCGAGACAAAAAATACTGACACTGAACGAAGTGGACAAAGAATAAAAAGTCTATTTTTTATTCTGTATATATGGAAATCAAGATTCCAGTATGTTGCATTGCTTTGTTGTACAAATCAAATGTGCTTGTGGCATTTTTCTAATCTAATTTATTTTACAGTATTGTTCTGTTTTTTTGTTTTCTGCTTCACCATTAAAGTTTAAAGGATGTACACAAATGAAATGAGTCTTTGGTCCTTTAAATCTCAGGAAGAAAATACCTCACTTCTTCTGCAATTAAAACCTTATTTCATTTGTCCTAAGGCTAAAGCCAACAGGTCCCAGGTTATGATATCATGCTAACAGACCGAACCGAGCTGCTGCCTCTCTGATGTCAGATGACTAAAATCCCTCATCTAGTGTCTGTTTATCTCAAAATGTAAACTTTTTATCTCATATTTTTTACTTTCTATCTTATAATTATATAATTTTCACACAACATGAACATTTGTTTATTATCAAGGCAACGTTTTTATTTTAGTTTTTGAATCTACTTGCGCAAATGGGGTTCCATACCAAACAGTCATAACACAAACAGTATTTCCCAATTATTATTATTATTATTAGTAGTAGTAGTAGTTTCTCTGACGTTGCTAACGTTAGCTACTTAACTTAGGATCCAGACATCCGATGTCTAAAATCCTTCATCTGGTTCAAATCTAGAGTTAAAAAGCACCAAGATCTAAACAGTGGACGGTAACAATGTGGCTTCAGACTGGATAAACAGTCAATGTATGACAGCTTCTGGCAGACAACCACAACGCTGACGCAGGCACAAAGGGGATATGACGCCATCGACAGGCGACCGGTGAAACGCAGCGTTACCTGAATAAAATGACAGATTTCTCTGAGTTTGAACATTGTTGGAAACATTTGGGATAATGGAAGAACTCAACTACATATTAGTGTGACATATTGTAGTTTTAAGCTCCTTGCAAGTTTTTGGCTCACCTGCCTTGTTAAACTGCCGCTGAGCTGTTCCAGCTCTAAATGAGCGTTCGGGGTCGAGGACGCTGGAGAGACTCCAGTCAGCGAGGAGGAGGCGCAGCAGGAATTCATTTCCCCACACCGAGGAAAAAATGCCAGCTCTGTTGAAGCTGTGATACATGAGGCGAGAGGTTGAAAGGTCGTCAGCAGTTTCCCCTCGCTGCCCTGTTAAACTTTAAAGGCGCTAAAAGGAAACACGCCTTTGTGTTTGCTCTGACCTACTGCAGTGAAAATAAAAGCTCTGCAGCAAGTGGAAACAACAGAGAGCCGTCAGATCGGACATTTTCCTCGAGTTGGCTGGAGATAAACACCTGCAGCAGGTGAGTCACACTTAAGGAACTTTAAAAGATCCCATGAGAACGAGGAATGTCGTAAACTCAGATCCTGCACATATTTCACATCTGAGTACAAATAGCTAACGTAGATGTCTATTATATAAATACATTATAATAATATGTTTGTTATTATGGTGCCAAGATAAAGGAGATTAGATCTCATAAAAATTATTTCAAAATGACAAAAGACATAATTTACCTGAGAACCAGGTATTACCAGCGTTTTCTTCCTCAGGTGATGTTGATATATTTGTAGAAATAAAAATTTACCTGAAATGCTATAATAAGGGAGCGTGCCTATGTTCCCACATTTCTAAGATTCTTTTCAAAATGATGTCCTATGTTCCCACATTTCCTTTTTCATAAATTTGTGTCAGATCCCCCTTTCTCCTAATTTGGTGGCCAATTACACCCAACCTATTCCCTAACCCAATGTAGGAACACAGACCTAATTTTGAAATAATAATAAATGTCCTAGAAATGTGGGACCATAGGGCTGACCCCCTATAATAATATAATAATGCCACGAGCAGCTGCTGTCAGACTGCACTGGAAACACGGAGAGTCCGCTGGAGCTTTTACAGTCACTAGAAGCACAGTCACGCTGTAGCTGAGCTAGCAGCTCAGAGAGCTCCCCAGTACGTGTGATTAGCACCTTAACAATGTTTTTATAGAAATGTCTGACGTAATGTAGTCCCGAACTGTCCACTCTGTGACAGCGTTGGACAGTAGAGGGCGAGTTGAGACATTCATGAACTGCAGATGTTGCTAACTTTGGTAATGATGTGAATATTACAGCAGCACTGATGTGTGTCAGTACAGTCATATGATTCAGTTTACAGCTTTCAGGGTCGACGACCTCTTTAAATTCTGTTGCTACTGTGGTAAAACCTCGATGTACGTATGTCGTGTGTTTGTATTTAGTCACTGAAGTTTGCAATAATTGAATGAGACACACAGCAGATGGTTATGAGCAGGGAGCGGGTTGTGAACTCAAAGCGCCACGTCCTTGAATGACATTAGGACGCCTTCATGACAGGACGGAGTCTCCCAAAAACTCAAAACCAGAGCGGAGCAGCAGATACCAGACCAAAGACAACCCAAACCACAGACACACACTCATTCTCAAAATAAATGTAGTTTAGTTCAATGTCTCCTCACAACAGCACACACACACTAACCTCACTCCATTACCTCATCAATGCAAATCGACTCCTGCTCACGAGACGCCACACACACGCACGCACACGCACACACACACACACTGTTTGTTGGGGTTTCCTGTGGCTGTGAGTCATTGGAAGATATTTCTGTGGAAAACAGAAGTTTCTGAGGATTTTTAAAAATACAACTGACTTCACGTTAGATTTTCAATAGTCTCCCTTTGCAGTGGCGGAACTAGACTTTTATACGAGGGGTGGTCAGAGGGTGGTCAAGGCTTTATGAGGGGGGCCATACACTAGGCCTAATAAAGGAAAAACCTGACATACTCGTCATATTCGAACCCAAGGCGCTGCAGCAACTCCGTTCATGGGTTGCCAGTTCTACTGACTGAGCTAACATGGCACTGCAAAGACTGGATGAAATGGACCTAAGTTTTACTTTCAGTTTCTGGCGCAGCAATTAAACCGGCGCACCGTCATTCATTCAAAAAATTAATAACAACCGTGGGAAAAGCTGGTGTCTTGGCAAAACAAAGAGAAGGCTACACATCACGGACACTAGACGCAAGACTCAGCTCAATGATCAAATAAAGACGCCATTCGTATGAGAAAGGCAAGTCATGTTGGGAGCTGCCTGGGCTGCTGATATCTGGGCTGGGGTCTGTCTGTGCCTGATCTGGTTTTTTTTAGCAAAAAAGTTGGAAATATCTCCCTTCCTCTTCATTGTTATCAGTTTATTCTGCCTTCTCTGTTTGCGTTTAAAAATCTTGCAGTTTTCGACGTGACGTGCTGTCAATCAACTGGGGTGGCACCCAGGGTGTCCAATCAGGTTCCAGGGGTGGCCGGGGTAGCACTAGCTCCGCCCCTGTCCCTTTGTGATGGTAAACATGTTCTTTATTATTTTCCGTCACATGTATTTAAAATGCTGTACATGTGGACCGTTTTCAGTAAATATGGAAGCCAATTTCCACCAATGTGACGATAAAAAAAAGGACTGTTTAAGTCATTATAATGAGAAACTTTCTCATTATGTATGTATGTGTATGCAGCACACGGACAGGTGAGGCCGCCTGCTTTTATTTCCAGGCAACAAGTCGTACCAAATGCCGTGGATTACATGTTGGGAAACCTCACGGGACACCTGCAAGACAAAGACCGTCATCTAATATTTATCAACCAGGGGGCATTCAGGGACCGTCAGAAGCAGTATTTCGTAAAGGGGGGCGTTGAGGTGCTCTTTCAACACCAAAAATCTGCTTACACCACTGCGACTGCACGTGATGGTGTATCGTTTCCATAGCGTTTGTTTAATTGGTTTCTTGTTTACTTTGATTACTAATCACTCTGAGGTCCACTCCCTGGTTGAGGATGGCGCTCTCATGAACATTACTGCACCAGTTGTGGGCAGTGTGGACTGTACCAAGGGAGACTTTGGGGAGGGGGAGGAAGTTACAGGTTTTCTTTTTTTTTTTCCTATCCGTAAAATTAACTGCATCCTGAATATGAGTTATTGTATATGTTATTACTTACTAATGTTCTCAATAGCTTTAATTGTCGGTTTAATTTTGTCTTCGCCATTGGCAAAGGTATATTCAGGTGATATACACTAATAAAAAGATAATTATTATAGAATATTATATCATATTTCTGATGATAGATCCTGTAATTGTTTCACACTGGAGCTTGAAGATTTAACGCGGGACAATGGCGGGATAACCACAAATGTAAAGCAACAAAATGCAGTATGTAGATAAATCATTTTTTTCTTTCAGATACATTTATGAACATTTATTATAAAAAATTAATAAAACAACTTCCTGTCAATACGTCCGACTCTCTGCATGTGTGTGTATTATAAATAGAAGCTCTTAATAACAGGAGGACAGTAAAATGACTTGCAGCTGCCGCCGCCCCGCCTCAGCAGAGACACATCAAAAGATCAACCACTCACTGCTCTTCTATCTCTGTGAGGACCACAGTGTCAGACCAGCACCGCAAGGACCGCCAGCTTTTCCAGAGGCTGTGCGACCTGCATGTAGGTGAGGGACAGGCGTGTAACTGTTGTGATTAAGTTGTAGTTGGAGAATACATTATCTAAATACAGGTCCGCACTAGTAAAACTGTGTGTGAGTGGATGAAAGGCTGCAGCAGACCACAGCGGGGTGTTTCCCTGCCAGCGGGGCAGCCTCTGTGGTCGACTGCTGCCTGATGCTGCTCTGTTTCAGGAGGTGATGTGTTTGAGGGGAGACGACACCGTCAGTCAGTGATGTCACAGACTCAGAATTTTTCTGCATTATCCTAGAGTGGCTGCGTCATGAGCCAGTGTATCAGACGAACAACACGCTGTGCAAATTTCACGTAAATCACATGATTATTGCCATTTTACTTTCTGTTTCCAGTAGGGGGCGCTATGACTATGACTTTATATTCCACCAAATCTCTGATAGGAGTGCCACCTTAAACACACCTACATGCAACTATTCAATCATACTCATAGCGCCCCTACTGGAAACAGGAAGCCTTTTTTATGGCACTTGTGATCTGATTCACATGAAATATTCATGGTTTAGAAATCTTTTGAATCACTTGGTTTCTTGTATTTATTTAATAAAATATTATTTTAAAAGAAACAATAGTTTCTTTCCTTGCTTCTTATAAAATCTAAATGTCTTCCAAACTTCAGATTTTAGATTTGATGC